CAGGGCTAGAAATGGCAGGAGTGAGGGAGAATAGTTTGTTTTGCTCGGATCCTGGTTCACCAAAAGGCCTAAGAAGTCTTTTCCAGCCCTGGGGCTTCCAACTTGTGCCTTACAGTGTAACCTGTGCTGTCCCTGAGGGAACAGTGGCATCCACTGAAGCTTAAGTATGTTTAGCCATTCACACGCACAGGTCACTGTCCTGGAGCTGCTTCTGTTGCTTTCCAAATGTTTGGTGTCTGGTCCTTAACTGTCTGGCACAGGGAACATGATGGCTGCACTGCAGGCAGCCCTGAAGAACCCTCCTATCAACACCAAGAACCAGGCAGTGAAGGTGAGACAGTAACAAACTCACTCTTGGGTTACTCCTCAACCCCCCTTTCCTGTTTCTGTAAGCCCTACCCCGTCAGCCCTGCCAGGTGTACCTTGAGGAAGCCAAGGTTTTAGGGTATTCCCTGGTGTTGAAACACCTGTGACCTGCCTTGAATCTTGTTCCAAATGCTGTAGCTGGGGTGTCACCCGTCCACGTACCTTTAACTTGGTGCTGGGTGTGTGTTCTCCTGCCTGCCTGGGCTGTAGATTTCATGCCCTGGCCAACCCAGCAGCACGTAGATGTGGGCAGCACTGAACCATCCAGGAGCCACAGCTGCACCAGTCACCTCTGATGCATCAAGCTCTGCCAGCACACCTAGACCCTGAGCCTGCACAGAAAGGAAGGACTGATGGTATCACAACCAAGCCATTAACCCACACTCCCCCAGAGGCAGAAGGCAGGAACCTGCTGCATCTATTTCTGAATCTCCCCAGAATAAACCTTGAATGGCTCAGGACTGCAGTGAGATTCCTCTGTGAGGGGAACAGGCAGGTAGGATGGGATGTGGAACTGCCCAGAGGGTGAGCACCTGCAGAGGGTTTTTTTTTTCCCCCCCTTAGCCCCAGCCTGTTGCTGAGATGTTCACAGGGCTTTGAGATCCAGCTGCTACTTCCTACTAATGACTTATTTCAATTATATCCATATTTATAAATCCAATAATACACTTGGAAGGCAGTGGAACTGCAGAGTGAATTTTAATGTTTGGCTTCATTTTTAGTTGATCTCATGGAACTGTTATTTTTTTACCTATAGTTCTTCAAGTGAGCCAAGCAGCTGTGGGGTATTAAATTGCACCAGAAAACACAATTTCTGAAGAAGGAAGCTGCTTGGCTTATTTCTATAGTGGGATTATTCAAAAGTGCAACATATGGGAGACCTTTTTCTTTTATCCTCCCTCAGTTAGTATTGGATGAACAGGAAGAGCTGCTTTTTGCTAATGACATGACTAATCTGCTGCTGTCATCATTGCCACACACATTCCTGGGCCTGAGATGATACCCAGAGCAACCTGCAAATGGTTACTAAGACAAACCATGAATGTTGCCAGTTTGCAGCTCATGGGCCTGGGACAGAAGTTGACTCTGTTGAAAACATGTGGCTTCCATCAGTCACCTCTTCCAGGCTGGAATGTAATAGTTGTACCCCTGTTACACAGCACAAAGGCATGGAAACACTGGTGAAAAGGGAGGCCAGTCAGTTCTTACAAGTCTTTTGGAACATGCCAGGCCTTCAGTTTCAATATGAAGATGGAGTTTTTAGCTACAATCTCATTGGATAAGGTGGAGAATTGCAAACACAAGCAGAGGCAGAAAACCTCGAGCAGGGCAGAGGCTTTAAACTCTCACATGGTTTATAACTGGGAGGCTGTGTGTGTCACCACAAGCTCCTTTCACAAACTGCCCTTTTCAGACGTGTTTGAGAACTGTTGAGGAGAAGAAAACTCTAGTTTTTTGTCAGTTGAAGGAATGACTGATGTTGGAATGCACCTCGTGCAAGAGTGACCTCATCTCTGCTTTCCTCATCTGTTGGCAGGACCGTGCAGAAAGCATTGTCCTCAAGGTCCTCATCTCCTTCAAAGCCAATGATATTGAGAAGGCAGTGCAGTCCCTGGACAAGAACGGTGTTGACCTGCTGATGAAGTACATCTACAAAGGCTTTGAGAGCCCCTCTGACAACAGCAGTGCTGTGCTGCTGCAGTGGCACGAGAAGGTAACAGGTTCCTGGGGCTCAGGCACGTTCACTGAGCCTGCTGAGAGCCCCCTCTGCCTGCTCACACTGACATGGGAGGAGGGTACAGCCCTTGGGTAAAGATTCTCCAGCCAAAACTTGGTTTTGCCTTAGACTGGGGCACACAAAAGGGTTCAGTCCAGTGATTCAAGCAGAGGGAAGTAGAACAGCGTTTCGCCCTGGCAGGGAGATGCTCACTTGACATAGAGTTGGGAAACATTTCCACTGAGTCCATCTCAGCCTGGAGCAAGCTCTGCCTGCTGTTAACTGCTGTGTCTCTCTCCCCAGGCCCTGGCTGCTGGAGGAGTGGGCTCCATTGTCCGTGTCTTGACTGCCAGGAAGACGGTTTAACCCCAGCAGCAGGGGGTGGTTCCCCTGCCACCCACGGCAGGGGATGCTGGTACAAAACCCAACCACCAGATGCCACGGCTGCCCCGTGGGGCAGCACCTGTCTCTCCCAGCTTGCCTTCTTGCAGCTTCTTTCCTACCTGGCAAATAATGCATATCGTGTCTCTTTCTTGTGTTGAAATTCTGGAAAATGAGGAAGGTGCAATGTCACTTCTAACAGGAATATTTGGTACTTGTGATCATTTCAGTGACAGGTGTAAGGACACATAGAGCTTCATGTTTAGGATGATTTGCATTTGTGTATAATCATGGCAGATTTTGACCTTTCTGAGCAAATGCTGAGGGACACAGGGCAATGTCTTAATTCTTTTTGCTAACCAAGCAGTGCTTTGATGTAAGATCTATATTTAAGAAGTGGGGCAGCTATCCTATAGGTAACTGGACCATGTTTCCTTTGGTCAACCTCTGAACCTGCATCCAGGAACAGGACAGAAAGCAAAAGCTCCCTTCCAACCCCTATGATCATTCCAGGGAGCTGGATATTTTAATTCCTTAACCTCACATCTCACAGCCTGTTCTGGTTCCTTGTGATTGGTCCAGTGCTGGGACCACAGAGGGATGAAATCATCCATCATGCAGTTTGGGTGGCAGAATTTCAAAAGGTTGATGGTCCATTTACACTGGAGCCCAGCCCAGTGAACTCATCTTATCTGGGGGGGGAAGGGGGAGAAAAGATGCTGAAGAGGAGAAGAAAAAGCAGCTTTCACACATCAAATCACCTTCCAGCAACTTGCAAGGGATTTGATTTTTGTCAAGCACAACAAAGCAGCTGCCTGGCAGCATCTGAGAAACGCACACTGGTATCCACACCAAACTTCCCAGCCTCCCATATTTTGTGCTCTAGATCTACAGGGTCTCAAAGGATACCAGACAGTTCACATTCCTGTTGTGTTGTGCCACAGTGTGTCAGCTGGTGGGTGAAACAGCTTCCCAAAGAAAGAGGAGGAATTTTCAAGGAATTAGGAAAGCCCAGGGCACCCCAGATCAGCATTGAAGGTTTAGGACCAGGACTAAAATACAGGTGTTTTACCATTTTACTGCAGCTCAGTTGTGTAAAACTGTTGGGGAACTTGTGAAATCTTTGCTGTTTTTTGATATCTGCTTTTTTTTTTTTTTGTAATAATAATAAAAGACCAGACAATAAATTGTCACTGAATGTTTTCTCACTGCCTGAGCTATTTCATAGCAGGCTGCTGTTCAAGGATGGACAGGAATAAAAAAGCAAGCCCTAAAACTTCTCCCTTATTTTTCTCTATAGCTTTGCTTTCTAGCAGTGATTTGTACCATATTTTGCCACGTGTATAAATCCAACTAGAAAATCTGGGATCATTTCAGGAAGGAGTTTTAAACAAGAAGAAATGTTCCAGACTAGGACAACTAGAAATGTCTCTGCCTGTAATTGTAGCCAGGAGTGAGATCTTCACAACTATTAATGTTAGAGGCTTCCTCAGGAACAAAAGGAGGAGAAGGCTCATGGCTTAGCAGGGTGGTTGTGTGGAGCAACACTCCTGATTTCACAGTTTTGTCTCCCAAGAGGTTAAACATTTAGTCACTGATACAGTCCTGGGCCTGACCTACGGGTGGGATCAGACAACAACATCATTGCTACTGCAGGTGTGCTCAGCCTGGACTTGTGAAGGGTCTGAGCCTACAGAAACCTGTTGTTGAGCCTTCTGACACCTGCAGAACATCTCTTGTTCATTACCCAAGTCATCACTTTGGAGCTCATACCTTCAGGCAGCTCAAACCAAAGCCTTCCTGGTGCACCAACCTTCACTCAGGGACCAGAAGACATCTTCAGCAATAGCCTTTTGTTCTTCCAGCCTTCCTCCTTCCTCAGTTTCCCCAGGACAGGCCTGCACAGCCACAGCTGCCATGTGCTGCAGCTGCAGGCAGCCCAGCCTTGCAGGTTGGAGCCCTGTCACCCAGCCTGTCCCACCCCATCATCCCCTCCCCCTCAGAGGGCACAGCACCCCAGGTCCTCAACGCCAACTCGTGTGGTTACTCCACAACCATTTGGTGCCCTCCCTACCTTCCTTCCTAGGATGCTTTGCCTTAATTTCTTCTCCAGAACACAAGCACAGCAGGAGGCACTGGGCACACACAGCACAAGACCTGGCTTTGCTGCCAAACCCACAGAACAAAGGAGTTTTGACCCTGGGTCCATCCAGAAGCCTCACCCTCCTGGCCATGAGCAGCAATGCAGGCACCTGCTCACTGACTGACAGGAGGGTTAAAAGTTAAATCAGCTGAAAAAAAAAAAGGGAAAAAAATAAATAGTTTAACTCTTTCCTCCAAATCCTACTTTGATTTTGTGGAGCATCCAAATACCAAGGCAGGGAGCAAATCCCAGCTGTGCTGAACAGTGACTGGTGTTTGCTGGGCTCTTCTGGGGGGGCCACCCCTGGCTGAGTGAGCCCAGAGCAGCAGGAAATCCCCAGGCACCAACTCCACAGGAGGCACCACGAGCTCTGGAACAGCAGAGGAGGTGTTAAAGACACCTGTAGGGCCCATTCTCACTCCAGAATGAAGAGGAAGACAAGAGAAAGATGGGCAGGAAAGAAATAAAAAAAAGTTCCTCGACAATTTCATCTTGCAAACTACATTTCCCTTCCTGTGATGCCTTCAATGAAAAATAACTGCAGACTGGAGCTCACTGGAGGGGAAGGGGGTTTGCAGAGCTCTGTGAGGAAGGCTCAAGTGCTTCCTGAGGGTGCCTTGCAAACCTCCCACCTCTGCCTTTGGCCAGAGCATGTGGCAAAAGCACCTTATCAGTCACATCCTGCTCTTGCAACAGAGAGAAACTACTGCCCTCCCTCTACCCAGAGTTGCAGCCCCTGCCAAGCCCTGGGCTGCAGGTCACCCACCCCTTGGCCAGAAGGAGGTCCCAGAAGCTCCTGCCCTGCTCCCTGCCACCGTGTGGGGAGTGAGCAGAGCAAATCATCAGGTCCCCGTGCAGACAGGAGTGCTCAGACTTGGCTCCCAGGGCAGGAGCTGGACACACTGCCTTGTCCACTCCTCCTGCCTTACAGGTCTCCTCCCACACAAGGTCAATCCCCTTGGTCTTTCCTCATACATGCCCTCATACATGATGTTTTCTAGCCTTTTTCTAGGTCTCCTCTCCAGAAATTGGGATGAACTTGCCCATGTTGTTGCTGCACAAACTGGAAGTGGTTTGCTGCACCAGAAGCTGGATCTGGGGCATTTCTATGTATTTCTTACCCAACTCTTGACCCGGATTTCAAGAACCTCCTACAGGAGGTGTCACTATCTCTGTTACTCACTTCCTCTTGGACTAAGAAGCATCAGCCTGGTAAGAGGAAGGGGAAGAAGAGACTCACTAGAAGGATGTGTTTGTCACAGCTTTGAAACTGCTTGAAGGTGCCATTAAAACCAAGGCCACAGAGTGCCAGGTGCTGTGAGCAATTGCTGTGCTTGCACCTTCCAGATCCCATCTTTCCATGAAAAGCAAGGAAAAAAATCCCAACACTTGCCACGGGTCATTTCACACCCTCCTCTAAGCCCCTTTATACCACTTTTGGGATCAACCTGACCCAGCCGTGTGCCAGTTCAGATCACTAAGTGAGCAGAAAATGATCCCTACCATAGGATGAGCCATTTCCTCTCCTTCTGCATCACTCTCGGGCTGTAATTCCCCCTCCCTGGTGGCAGAGCAGGCAGGCAGGGTATCCCTGGCCCAGCAGCAGGCCAGGAGATGCCTACAGGAACAACTGCTTCTGTCGAGGAGCACACTTTGGGGAGCACAAGAGGCTCAGCCGTGCTCACCCGGAGGCTTTGCAACCCCAAATTTGGCCCGGCCAAGAGGCCAGCTCAGCAGAGCCATGGCTCTGCATGAGGAACCCAGAGGAGCAGAACCCCAGGAGGAGCAGAGCAAGGAGCAGAACCCCAGGAGGAGCAGAGCAAGGAGCAGAACCTGAGGAAGAGCCCAGAGGAGCAGAACCCCAGGAGGAGCAGAGCAAGGAGCAGAACCCCAGGAGGAGCAGAGCAAGGAGCAGAACCCCAGGAGGAGCAGAGCAAGGAGCAGAACCCCAGGAGGCGCAGAGGAAGGAGCAGAACCCCAGGAGGAGCAGAGGAAGGAGCAGAACCCCAGGAGGAGCAGAGGAAGGAGCAGAACCCCAGGAGGAGCAGCCTCAGCCCCACTTCCCCATCCCATCTCAGTGACGCTGGGGCCACTTCCTGCCAGGTTTGCAGCCCAGAAGGCAGAAGCAGAAGGCAGCAAGACGAGCCAGGAAGGACGAGCAGAGGGGTGAGACCCACCGGGTGCCCCGGGACCCCCAGTGCACCATGTCCCTGGTGGAGACGATCCGGCTGTGGCAAGAGGGGGTGTGTGCAGCGGACGGGAAGGACTGGAGAGCAGCCCTGCAGGCCTTCATGGCCGTGCAGAATCCCCCTGCCAAGATCTGCTTCAACATCGGCTGCGTCCACCTGGTGCTGGGGCAGCTGCCCGAGGCACAGCAGGTAAGAACCAGCCCCCTGGACCCACCACCCCACGGCACCTTTGCCCACCGACCCCGGGTGGGGAGGGAGGAATCCAGGGTGCAGCCTGACCAAGGGAAGGAGCCAGGGCTTCTTCAAGCTGGGATGAAGCAGAACAAGCCCCAGGCTGTTCCTGCTGGACATGTTTGCCCCGTGAATCAGAGGGAAGCAGCAGGAGAGGCTGCTCCCCCTCCTTCCACGTGGTGCCTGCAGACACAAGTCATGGAATCGTTTTGATTAGGAAAGAGCTTTAAGATCATCAAGTCCAACCCTTAACCCAGCCCTGCCAAGGCCACGCAGGTAAGAACCAGCCCCCTGGACCCACCACCCCACGGCACCTTTGCCCACCGACCCCGGGTGGGGAGGGAGGAATCCAGGGTGCAGCCTGACCAAGGGAAGGAGCCAGGGCTTCTTCAAGCTGGGATGAAGCAGAACAAGCCCCAGGCTGTTCCTGCTGGACATGTTTGCCCCGTGAATCAGAGGGAAGCAGCAGGAGAGGCTGCTCCCCCTCCTTCCACGTGGTGCCTGCAGACACAAGTCATGGAATCGTTTTGATTAGGAAAGAGCTTTAAGATCATCAAGTCCAACCCTGAACCCAGCCCTGCCAAGGCCACCACTGCCCCATGTCCCTCAGCACCACATCTACAGGGCTTCTAAATCCCTCCAGGGATGGGGACTCCCCCCCTGCCCTAGGCAGCCTGGGCCAGGGCCTGACAGCCCTTTGGGTGAAGAAATTGTTCCTGATATCTGATCTAAACCTCCCCTGGCACAACTTGAGCCCATTTCTTCTTGTCCTGCTGTTTATTACTGGGGAGACTGACCCCTCCTCTCTCCCACCTGCTCTCAGGGAACTGTAGAGAGTTACCAAAGGTCTCCCCTTAGCTTCCTCTCCTCCAGGCAAAACGCATCCAGTTCCTTCAGACACTGATGGTTTCAGCTCCAAAAAACTTAGGACCCTGGCCCAGGCTCCAGCACCCAGTGCCACAGGGAGCCATGCCCAGCTTAGGCCCCTTGGCTAAAGCAGGACAGGCATAACTGCTCCAAAGCCTCAATTCTTGGCAGGTCTTCCATTCTCACCCCCTTCCTACCTCCATGCAGGCATTCACCCGGAGCATTGGCTGTGACAAGCACCTGGCAGTGGCTTATTTCCAGCGGGGGACAGTGTTTTACCTGCAGCACAAGTGAGTGGAGGGCTTTCCCATTTCTGTTCTGCTGCTTGGGGGAGATGCCAGCCTTCACCTGAGGGTGGCCCCGGGGGGGTTGGGGCCCCAGGGGCCAAATCACAACCCCTCGAGGTCAAAGAGAGTGACATTCTTGGGGTTAACGCCTTGGAGCAGCTTTCCTCCCCGTGGGGTGTCTGAAAACACTGCCAGGAGTCAGAAGAGACCCCACTGAACTCAAACACCCCAGACACAAGGGGTACTGAACAGGCAGGTGGTGACACCCTTGTCCTCTGCCCCACAGCCATGAAAAGGCAGTCAAGGATTTCAAAGAAGCCCTGGCCCAGCTGCGGGGCAACCAGCTCATTGACTACAAGATCCTGGGGCTGCGATACAGGCTCTTTGCCTGCGAGGTGAGAAACCCTGGGCTGGCAGCTTTGGTCCCACGAGGTGCTTCATCATCTCCAGACACCTGGGCAGGGGACAGCAGAGGTCTCTCCACGCCTGGTGGAGAAACAAGCCAAGCAGGTGCAGCGCTCCGTGAGACGTCCCCACCTTGCTGTCCTCTCCTGCAGCCTGCTCCTGGCAGGGTCCAGCTGCTCCAAGAGCTGCTTCTCCTGCTCTCCTTCCCCTGGCAGATACTCCACAACATCGCCCTGGTCCACGCCACAATGCAGGACTGGGAGAGAGCTGAGGAGCACCTGGCTCTGGCCATGAGCATGAAGACCGAGCCCCAGCACAACAAGATCGACAGGGCGATGGAAGCCATCCTGGTAGGGAGGGGCAGGGCTCACAGCTGCTGCCTTTGGGAGGGAGGAAAATCCCAGGGGACAGAGAAACTGCCTTTTAGCTGCAGTGTGAGAAGAAAAATGCAGTGGGTTGAGCAAAATGGGGGTGTCATGTGGAGAGAGGAGGTGGTGGGAACAGCTTTGGATCGCTAGGGAGGCAGGGACAGAGAGTTTGGGTTACATGGGTGGCATCAAGGTCCATCTAATGGGGCTGTCACGGGGGTGTTTGACTCTGTGGAGTGAGACCTTAACCTCTGAGGCAGAAGGAAGGGGACATGAAGCAGTCTCTGCTCTCACCTCTGAAGAAGGCTGTGACTTCTCTGTGCTACAGAAGCAGAAGCTCTGTGAGCTGGTGGCCATTCCCGCCGGGAAGCTGTTTAGACCAAATGAGAAGCAAGTGGCTCAGCTGGAGAAGAAGGACTACTTGGGCAAGGCTATGGTAAGAAAGAAGTATCTTACTTATTCAGGCTGAGCCTGTGGGCTGAGGAGAGCTGCTGATCTCTGAGCTGCTGCCTGCTGGGTACCCAGAGATATGGAACTGGCCCATGTCTCAGGGATCCCTCCCAGGTGGAAGGGAGGGATGGCACGTAGGGAACTGTCTCCTGGGGAACAGGCCACCTGCAGGAGCAGAGGAGCTCAAAGCATGTTTCTGCAGAGCGTGGCCTCTTCTCAGTTTAGCAAGACATGAGGGACAGTCACTCAGCTGGAAAGGTCCCACTGGAGCTTCAGCTTGAGCCAGAACTTGATCAGAGGGAGAAAGAGAAGCTATTTAAAAACTGGCACCCAGAAATGACCTCCAGTTCTTCCCCTGCTCCATTTGAAAGGGGCTTCTCAGCTCAGATCAGTGAGCACATTTTTCTCTCCTGAGTGTCCAAAGTCCAAGCACAGGGATTTCACCCTCTGGGAAGTGCCCCATGGGCTGTGCAGGTGCTGGGGAATCAGACAACTGAGAGCCAAACAGCTCCTCAAGTGTCAGGTGATCCCCAGGAACTTGCACACAAACATCTATGAACTTCCTAAATGATGCTTAAAGTCACCTACAGGAGGTAAGGGCTCCAGCTGACCACTTTGACTCCCTTCAACATTTGTGATGAAAAGATAAAGGGAAACTCTTCTGCAGTGAGAGTCATGATGACCTCAATGTTGGGCTAAGACCTTGCCACGATGAGAGGTGAGCCAGCAGCACTCCCAGCCTGTAGTCAGAGATGCCTGCAACCACAGCCTCTTGAACCCAAGGCATGCCCAAGAGCTTGGCTTGGCCCACAGCAACAGAGGGTTGACAGATGTCTAAGGGAGGTCTATGAGCACTAAGTCACTACTTGCCTGTCTCTGGCCATAGGTGGTGGCATCTGTGGTGGACAAGGACAGTTTCTCAGGATTTGCTCCACTCCAGCCACAGGTAAGTCACCTCCTCAGGAAAAGTTCAGGAGGGTGTGGGGATGGGAACAGTCCTGCAGCTCACCAAGGGCTCTGGCTCGTGGTGAGGAGCAAACAGCAGCACTGCCACCATGACCCTTCCACTCTGGCTGTGGGGAGGGGGCAGGCCCTGCCCACACATCTCAGCTGCTCTGTCCGTCATCAGAGAGTGCAGCCCAAACCCACCCATGGCTGTGGTTGAGGTTCAGCTGGTTCCCTGAATGGGGAAGTAGGGGCCTGGTGACACATCCTCTCTTGCTGTGGGCTGGTGGCTTTCAGCAGGCACTGCTCACAGACATTCTGCAGGACTGGGTTCATTGTTCATCACTGGGTTCATGTGCCCAAGCGTGAGTAGAGAAGCAAGAGCAGTTCTGCTCTCATTCTCCATCCTCCTCCTCCTCACAGTTCCCAGAGCCCTTCACAGTCTCCCTGCTGCTTCCCTGCTGATGTAGCAGCATCTTTCCAGCTCTAAAGGCACCCGAGAGTTTTAACTGGAGCTTTTCAAGGGAACAGGGGGACGTGGAGCTGCTGCAACCTACAGCACTGTTACTCAAAATAACATACACTTGTCTTAACACAGCCAAGTATTGACACCCAGAGTCAGGTCTAGCTCAAGTAGCTTCTTCAAAGGGTTGATAAAATTCACCAGAGACCTTAAATGAGGAGAGACCACAAAGCACCACAGTGGCAGGCAAGGATTTTACGAGACAGAGAAGACACAGAGAAGCACAACTTGCTGCTTCAACTGATCTCAAATCCCTGATCTCAACCCTGAGCTGAAACCAAAACCCCGAGCGTGAACGAGCCCTGAAAACCGGCGACTGGGGGAAGAATTTGGAAACTGCTCCTTTGAAGGAGCAAAGCCAGGGATATTCCTCAGGGCACTTTTGGCAGCTGTTTTATGGATCAGGGTGGCAGGGAGATGAAAACCCACCACAGCTGCCTGCAAAGCCACAAAGTACTCCCTTTAGGTTCCAAACACCTGACCTGGTGCCAGCACAGGGAGGGAGGAACCATGTAGGGGTGAAAGCTGCAGGACATTTGTGCAAAGTAACTAAAGTCCTCCAGATGACTGATAAATTTCTTTTTCTCTTCTTGTTGGTAGGCCTCTGATCCTCCACCCAGGCCTAAGACCCCAGAAATCCTGAGGTGAGTTGGGTGAAAGATGGACAACACCACTAACCCTGATCCAGGCTCATCCTGGACCATCGCGGGCAACTGTCCAGGTGGCACCAAAAACTCTGGTGGGGGGGAATGTGGGGTGGCAGGGAACAGATTGTAGAGGCAGAGGTCTGGGTTCCCCCTATCAGGTAAAGAAGCAATATCACCCACCTTCCTGGCCACTGCTCCCACCCCAGGGCCCTTGAAGGGCAGCCACACCGTGTCCTGTACGAGTTCATCCCCGAGACCGATGAGGAGCTGCCGGTCCTGCCAGGAAACATTGTCTTTGTCTTGAAGAAAGAGAAGGACAACTGGGCTACAGTGATGTTCAATGGAAAGGTACCAGGGGTGTGCTTGGCAAGAGGAGGTGGACAATGGGGTGGACAGTGTGAGGATCTGCAGAGAATCAGCAACTAAATGAGCTTCTGACTTGAGTCACAGAATCGGAGAATGCCAGGTTGGAAGGGACCCCAAGAATCACCTGGTCCAATCTTTCTAGATAATAATATAGTTTAAATTAGATGGCCCAGCACCCTATCAAGCTGAGTCTTTAAACTGCCCAACACAGGGGACTCCATCACTTCCCTTGGGAGATTATTCCAACGTCTAACTGTTCTCATGGTGAATTTTTTTTCCTGGGCCCCACTTGGAATGTCCCCAGGAGTAACCTGTACCCATTACCCCTTCTCTTTTCCCTGTGACTCCTTGTAAAAAGGGAGTCTCCATCTTCTTGCTAAGTCCCTTATGTCCCCCCTGGCTTAGGCCACAGGGTTCAGTGAAACCCACCCAACCTGCAGCAACTAACCTTCAAGCCTCAGGCACTCACCTGGCTTCAGGGCAAGAGGAGGACAAGCTCAGCTTGCCCCCAGTGGCAGGTTGCTTCCTTGCCAAGCAATCCCCACTCCTCTCCTTCCCCTGCAGAAAGGGATCGTCCCCTGCAACTTCCTCGAGCCTGTGGAGCTCCAGAACAAGCTGCACATTCAGGTGAGGAGGCCCAGGAGGAGATAGTGTCCTGGGGAGAGAAGATCCCCACGCGTTCACCCACCACCTATTCTGGGTCTTCAAGTAGGACCCACCCCTCCAACTCCCTTCCTCTCATAATGCTGGGGTGGGTTCTTCTGGCTTCACCCTCACGTGAGCTGAAGGACCTGCAAAATCAGTGCCCCAGCTCCCTGAGGAAGGGTGGGATTGACAGCACTACCTTCTTGCCGTTGGCACAGGAAGAAATCCCTACTGAAGCTGAGATCCCAGAGCCACCCACCTCCTCAGCGCCCGAGAAGCCGCGGCGGCCGCCACCAGGTCAGTGAGGGAGCTGGGGGAACAGGGGTGCCTTAGGGTGCCCCCAGCAGCAAGTTTGAGGTGGTCTGCTCAGTGCTGCGTCCTCACGTGTTGAGACCAGGGCTAGAGCTCATCTCCACCTCGGTCCTGAGTCCCCTTGCAATGGAGGCTGGAGAAGAGCTAAAGCAGGAGGCAGAGATGGCACCTGCAGTGCTGAGGATGGAGTAAAACAGAGCCCACGGGTCCCTGAGGAAGCAAATCCCTCTTAATTAGCACTAATGGGAAAAAAAGCTTGGGGGTAGGAACAGGGCAAGTGACCCAGCTTGTCCAACTCTTGGACTAGAAGGTTCCTTACAGGCTTTTCCTAGAGCAGGGCCCTGGCGATGGTCTCAGTGCTGCTGCAAGCTGGGCTAGCTGTGAAGGAGCTGTGGTTGCCCTGGGAAGGGGATTCCTGGCCCAGTGCTACCCAGTGTCCCAGGCCTGGGGCAGGCATGGTGGCACTTGGGCCACCACATGGCCCCAGGGGAGTTGGTGCAGGGTGCTGGGAAGCTGGAACAGGGCTGCAGGGCTCTCAGGGACTCAGGCTGACTTGGTGGTTTAAAGCCAGGGAGCACACACATTCCAGCAAGATGAAACCAGGAGCCAAGGGGAAGCACATGGACAAGCAATTGCCCAGCCCCTCTAAGTGGGCTTGAGCCAGGGTCTGGTGGGGAAAGGTGGACCAGATGACTACTAATGACAGGACAGGGCTGACATCCCAAGCACACATTGGCTTTCAGTGGTAAAGTTGGTAGAGAAGATGGCTGTGGCTCATGAGAGTTAAGGGCAAACATCTCAGGGAGCATCTTCATGGCACCAAAAGCCACTGCAGCTCCAGCAGTGGGACTGCACCCAGGAGTGTCGCTCTGTCTCATCCCATCATGAGCACAGTTTTGTCAAAGCACTGACAAAAGACACAACAGATCTTTGTGATGGGACTTCATCAAACCTGCATCCCATCACACTACCTGGAGGTCTGAACTTCGCTTCCTGACCCCAGGAGGACAAAAATCACCTCCAGTTTTCAGTGTGGACCTGGGGAGATCAGAAGAGCAAAGACACTAAAAATCCACTCAGGAAAGTCATCCCACTCCTAAAGCTCCTGTGCTTACAAGAGGGAAGGGGCAGAGCCCAAACCTCTGCTTGGTGGTTACAGCTAAACCTTAGGGATGAATCCTATCACAATTGATGCTGCCTCCATTCAAGGGTCCCCCACTGGTGCCAGGGCTGGTCACTGTAGGTAATGACAGGGGTCAGGAAGAGCTGCAGGAGATCTGAATGCATATTTAGGCCCACAGCAGCAATGCTGACCCCACCCCACCTGCTGAGCCACCTCTTTCTTCCTCCACAGACTATGCTCCTGCTACTGCAACACAGCCCACAGAAACAGACAAGGTAACATCTGGCCAATGCAGATCCCAAGATCCATGTTACAAACCCCATAGCACACTGAAAGGTGCTGGCATGACCAGCAAGTGTGCCAGCCCAGGAGGAGTTTCAGGTTTTCATCATCCAAGAGCTTCTCCAAAGCAGGATGAGAGTCAGAGGGGCCAGCAGGTCATCCAGACCCAGCTGGGTGACTCAGGCTTGTTGGCCATCAGCAGAACCCTTGTGCAACTCACGTGGCACTTGTGAAGGGAGAAACAGGAGAGCTTGGCTGTTATGCACCCACTTGTGGGCAGGGGCAGTGAATCAGAAGGTCACATTGGGCAGAGACAGGAAAACATGACAGTCCACACTCAGAAAAAGAATGAGGGGGGTTGATGCACCTCAAATTTGGTCACCAAAAGCTACAGTGCTGTGGGCTACAGGGCTGTGAAGTGCCACTCCTGTGCTCCCTCCTGGGCCAGGGCTGCCAACCAGCCACACAGCCAACCAGAGCTTGGGTGGCCTGACCACTGAGCTGACCTGAGGGAAATGTCAAAGGCTGGATAGGCCAGCACAGATTTTTCCCTGACCAGCAGCTCAGATCTAATTCAAACAACTCCCATTCCCATGTCCTGGTACTTTTCCCTGCCCTCTCCAAGCCACACAAGCTCTCACATCCAGTTTACCACCCACAGGAGGCTGAAGCAGCCACCTCCAGCCCCCATGTCCTCAAGGTACATTACAAATACACAGTGGCCCTGCAAGTCAAGCCAGGCCTCTCCTACATGGAGCTTCTGGACCTGGTTTGCAAGAAGCTGGAACTCCAGCCCGAGCACACAGAGCTGAGGTGAGGCACCACCCACTGCCAGCACCAGGAGCCAGGTTTTTGGGGCTCCCACCCTTACCTGTGTTCTTGGCACACCCAGGTACAAGCCTGCAGAGAGCCAGGAGCTGGTGGTCCTGAGCACAGAGAACCTGGAGGCAGCCTGGAGCCAGAGCAAGGACAACTGCCTGACAGTCTGGTGTGACATCACGGAGGTCAGTGACAGCCAGCAGTGATGGCCACCTCTTCTGCCCACTCCTGGCAAGGAACCTAAGCAGCCCTTGCCTTTGCTCTCCTTGCCAGAAGCCCAACCCAGGCTTTCAAAGCCAACCAGCAACCTGTTGAAAGGCAGAGGAGCCAAGGGGGGAGGAGAGGAGAAGCAGAGCTTAGAATCACAGAATCGATTTGGTTGGAAAAGATCTTTAAGATCACCAAGTCCAACCCTTAACCCAGCCCTGCCAAGGCCACCACTAACCCATGTCCCTCAGCACCACATCTACAGGGCTTTTAAACACCTCCCAGGGATGGGGACTCCACCACTGCCCTGGGCAGCCTGTGCCGGAGCTCAACATCCTTCTGGGTGAAGAAACTGTTCCCAATATCCAACCTAAACCTCCTCTGGCACAACTTGAGACAGTTCCCTCTTAATCTATCACTTGTTCCTTGGGAGAAGAGGCTGACCCCCCTGTCGCTCCAGCTTCCCTTCAGGGAGTTGTAGAGAGGGAAAAGGTCTCCCCCTCAGCCTCCTTTCCTCCAGGCTGAACACCCCCAGTTCCCTTCAGCCACTCCTTGTAAGACTTGTTCTCCAAGAGCTAGTATCTCTTATGCAGGTACAAAGGAACAGGAGAAGTAAAAAGGTGTCCTCACCAGCTTATCTCCTGCCCTAGGGAAGGGGCTTTTTGCTGGAGAACAAACCGGAGGAGCCGCCACAGGAGGAGACAGGACCAACCCAAGTCATAGCACAGTACAATTATGAAGCCACCCAACCTGAAGACCTGGAGTTTCAGGCAGGAGATGTGATACTTGTTTTATCCAAAGGTAATGGTGCTCCTCTTCTGGTGACAGGGGAGGGACCTCCCAGCTCTGGTGAAAGCAGGGCCTGACCTCAAGGTGCCCAGTGGTAGTTGTGGCTTCTCAGCATCTGCCCAGTCAGCCCCAAAACTTTTGCTGAAAGGACAACCTATGGACACATCCAAGATTTGCTTTCCCATTGCTGTGTCACCAAGCTTCCAGTTCCCAAATTCACAGGGCAAATGTGCTCCATTCCCATAAAAAGCAATGAAAAAATAAGTATCCAGCCTACTGAGGTGTTTCCACCCTCTGCTGTGCAGGCACCTGATGAAGGGAGGGTTGGCAGCTCACCAGCCCAACCTACAGAGCCACAAGACAAGCAGGATCCAACACCTGCAAGATTGCTCTCCACAAGTGCCTCCTGCCCCTGCAACTGCCACACTCACTTTGTTTCCACTACCTGGTATCCAAGGCAGCTTCTGAGCCCCTTGGTTTCTATTTCAATCTCCTTTCCTCACCCTAGCTTGGCATTCTTTCTTACCTTACAAACTTTGCTCTGGCTTGGCATTCTTTCTTACCTTACAACTTTGCTCTCTGCCTTGTTCCCCCTCAGCCCCTTTCCCCCACATCCCACTCTCTACTAGGCTTTGACATAGGAATTCTCAGCAGAACACCTGCAAACAGTGATCTTGGGCCTGTCTGGAGCACGTGGAGGTCATTATGTTCCTGTACATCCCAAGGGTGACAAAAATTGTGTCCATTTTACCTTCCAGTGAATGAAGACTGGTTAGAAGGTCAGTGCAATGGGAAGATTGGCATCTTCCCATCGGCTTTCGTTCAGGAGTCAAACACTAAAGACCTGGAGATGTGATTTCAGAAGAGTTTAAGGTTGTGGACATGGAAAGAAATGAAGAATTCAACTGTTGCCATTAAAAAGTTTCCAAAATAATCACTGCACTTAAAATACGACTTCTACTTGTATTAAAAGCTTTATCTTCTGTTTCACCCTTTGCACTGTTCTCTAAAACAGGTACTGATTAAAAAGTTGCTAATTGTCTTCCTGTTAAGAATATATTCAGTCCTAAGAGCTCTGCTTACCAACAGACCTGCTGGCAACAGCTCTGTCTCACCTTCACCCTGCCCTCAGTGATGCTTTTCTACAGAGAAGCCAGGGGCTGGGAAAACCCAGGAGTGGGTGGTGCCACTTGCATTGCCAGCCCTGCTGACAGGGCCAGAAGAGGAACAGGAAGCTGTAAGATCAGGAAGGGCTGAATTTCCAACAGCACCTACTTATTCCTACCAACCACAAGAGGTTAAACAAGAGATGCTGTGCAGCCTCACCCAGCTCCAATGGACAATGCACTTCAAACCCACCCACCAGTACAAATATACACATTGTTCACCTTTTGGAGCTGCATCTCAAAGCTTTTTCTCAGCAGTCAGAGGAGACAGGAAGTTAGAAAGACACTCAGCAGGTCACACAGCAACACAGTTGTCACCTCTATAGAAGCCCATACCAATGTTGATGCCCTCTTCCCTATCCAAGAGGTTTGGGCCCCCCTGCCTCTGGCACTACTCTCAGACCATCTCCCCCTCCCTGGCTGCTGGCAGCTGCTCCTTCTGGCATTTTAAAATTATCTGCCCTGCTCCATCCTTGAAACACACAAGCTGGAGCCAGACACCTACAGTGCTTGAAAGATGCCAAGGGCAGCAGTTTTCCCACTTTGGCTCCTATCAGGCAAGTTCTGCAGAAGCCTGCTCTCCCAGCAACCTAAAACCTCCTTTGTTTTTGAAGGAACTTGTTGTTTGGACCCTATAAAAATCCACCCTTTAAAAAACAGCACATCTCCGTGGTTTTCTTTTGATGGATTTGGAAAGATGCTGTTGAGACACCAGATGCAAAGAGCCAACATCCTGATCTGCAGGCAGGTTGGGGGCAGAAAGGCTCCATCTCCTCCAGCTCCCCTTGCCTGTGCCCTGCCAGGCTCAGGTACCCCAGCCAGGTACTGAGGCAGAGCTTTGCAAGCTCCTCAAAACACATGGCACAAAATCACACATCCAATTACCTGCACTGAGCTCAAGCCAGAACCTCTTGACTTCTTATGCTGTCTTTCAAACAGAAAACCAAACCAAAACAAATGAACTTCAAACCTTCTTCTGACTTCTCCAGAAAAATAATGCATTTTCAAGAGCTGGCAGCCAAGTGACACAGGAAATAAACGTGACACACAGACCTGGGATGGAGAGAACATGGTTTAATTAAAGGCAAAGCTGATTTCAGCAGCTGCAGTTCTTGCACAGACAGACAAAAAACACAAAAAAAGCTTACGACACAAACCAGTTTCTGTTGGAGGCCCCTTCCCTCACTCCCCCGGGGGCATCAGAGGGTGGGAGGGGAGTCCCAGCCCAGAGTCGGAGGCGTTCCCGAGGCCGGATGCTCATGCACAAGTGGGACCCTGGCACTGCCGGGAGGGAGACCTGGGGGGGCTCAAACACTGGAATGTCGCAGCTGCCTGGGGGCACAGCTCGAGAGACAAACTGGGAGGGCTGGGGGAAGTACAGAGGGGCTTGAAGGGTGCAGCTGGGACCCTGGCACTGCCGGGAGGGAGACCTGGGGGGGCTCAAACACTGGAATGTCGCAGCTGCCTGGGGGCACAGCTCGAGAGACAAACTGGGAGGGCTGGGGGAAGTACAGAGGGGCTTGGTTCATCTTGCCACTGGGTGGGAACGTCGCTTTTTGGACTTTTTTAAAAGGAAACAGAGCCTTGAAATGCAACAAAGAACAGGGATGTTGCTAAGATGGAGACTGGGGGGGAGCTGCTCGTACCCCCAGAGGAGGATTGGGTCTCCTCTGTCTTCCCTTTTTGTATTCTCTGGGGCTGCCCAGACTCCAGTGCCACTTTGGCTCCTGCGTGTGCTTTGCTCTGCAGCTGATCCCCAGCTCAGAGATCCTGAATCATCACACAAACCCCTACTGCTCAACACAGCAAATGGACATGGAGATTGTTTCCGTCACTTCCCTGGGAAACCTAACAAAACTGTCATCCTTTTAACGAAGCTTCCAGTCTTCCTTCCCCCTAATAAATAGCAAATAAAACGTTTTCCTCTTCCCTTCTGCACCTTTGCATCTAGGAACAGCACTATGCTCCTCCCCCGTGTGTGGGTGACACACGTGTAGCCACGGGTGCTTCCAATTTCACTCCCAGGACTGGAAGTTTGGGGCTGCAGCTGGGGGCAGGGAGGGCACAGGTTTCTGCAGAGCAGCTGCGTGCCTGGGGGGGTGTGTGCACTCCCCACAGCCCAGGCAGACTGTCGGTGTTACCCAGCCCTGCTGGACCCCTGATTCTTTTCTGCAAGATGTTGCACATTGGAGATGAAACTACCAGCGTCCAGCGAAGATGGGAGGATGGAGAGAGAAAGAAAAAAATAACAACAAAAAAAACCCCAAACAAAAACCACTGAAAGCTTTCTACCTACCTATTAAAATGGGTCAGGTTGTGAATGCACAGACTAGCCTGCCCTTGGAGGGGCTAGCCACTATGCTACAGTAAAAGTACAGGAATCAAACATTAATTTAAAACCCCATAGCAGTTGACTTGCCCGTCCAGCAGAGCGTTGCGATGCCCCGTGCCACCCGCCACGGCTCCCACACCTACTGAGAGGAGGGCATTTCATGCTGGAGTCTCTAACCCACCCACGGGCTGGCCAAAGCCTTTGGGTGCAAGGTGAAGTGGTGCCAAGTGCCAGACTCTCCTTCATGAAACTCATTTGCTAGCCCAGGAGATCGAGCCCCACCTTGTCACCAACCACCTCTGACCAGAGCAGCACCTGGGGCTTTCATTGCTACACACTGACTACGAAGCACGTCTGTGTACGGAAGAATTCAGTGTGATCTTACTACTGAGAGAGTAATAAAGATGTTTAGGAGTAACTTCAACTACATTCTCAGTCAGCGAAGCAATCATTAATGGATTCCTATTTTATCTCCCCAAAGAGAGGAAAAGGATTGAGAAGTTCTCATTGGCTTCTCCCATCTGCCCTTCGCTCTCAGCTTTTGCTTCCCATGTGGCTGGGGACATGCACGATGGAGAAGGTGAGAGGCGGTGATATCGGGTTACTGAGTGAGACAAGCAGCAGTTCCTCTCTCCCTCCAGAGGGCCCAGGGATGGGAGAGTTCCTGATGTTGTTTCCTTGCACTGCGGACGTTTTTTTTGTGCACACTCAGTGGGTTGGTGGAGCACTTACACCCTCCTGACAGCAAGGAACAGAAGAGAGGGCTGCCACCTGCACAGGACTGTGTGGGCCAGTCCTGCAAACCCAACATGCCATGGTTTATGGAGCCTTCGTTTGCAAGGGTTGCCACCTCTTGTCTCAATGCGGCGGGTTCATGGTGCCTTGTCCACGTTGCTGCTTCTGCTTCTGCTGCATTAACAGCTGCTCCAGGGCTGAGGGTCCAGGGTGCATCATGGAACTGGACCAGATGGACTAGAAACAAACAGCCAACACTAGCACCTCCCTGTGTTAAGACAGCCCCCCTCTTATGGATGAGAAACCACAGACAGTTTTTCAGCAATCTCCCTCTTTGTCACTCATACCTGGCCTATCATGAAAGTTAACCAGATTTCAAAGGTGCCCTTCATAAGAGAGGTTCCCTGGAAGAAGCTTCTCCTCCAGAATCCTCATTACCATAAAAATTCATCCCACCTTCACAGTTACTAGTTTTAGACTACTTAAAGCAAATGTTATCATTTCTTCCAGTTCTGCCAGCCTGGCCTTGTTCTGCAAAAAATCTAGAACAGCAAGATCCAGAAAACTAACATCTACCAGCCCTGGTCACCCCTCCCACACTGCCTGTGCCAGAGAACCTGCAGGCAAATCCTTCCCCTTCTGACACTGACTCTTGCAATAGGGTAACGCCCATCACCAGATCTTCTGGCCCCACAGACAAGGACTCATTCCTGAGCTCAGTTCAGCCAAACATACCTTCAGGCTCTCCATAAGCACAGCAGAGGAGTCCTCCATACTGGGGGGACCTTGGGCTGCCCAGGTGCCACTGGGAGTGCTGGACTGGTGCCAGCTGCTCTCCGAAGACGACGACGTTGCTGGGAGATAGTCCAGACCAAACCCTCCCATTGCTAGAACAGGAGAAGGACAAGTTCAAAGGAACGTTGCAAAACCACCATGGGACAAACACCAACTCACTCCACACAAGCTGGGCAGGCAGCACTTGCCTGGCTTATCCGTTTTCCAGCGGTCTGCGACTCTCCTGTCTCTGCTGTCCGGGGTCCCAATAGGTCCAAAGTTGGAGAAGGGAACAGAGTTGTGGTTATGGGTTGGAGGGGAGCTCGGCAAGCTGCTGGGGTTGGAGGAGTGAGGAGACTGGCTGGCTGGTGTTGAGTGATCTAGTGATTACAAGGCAAGAGGAAAAAGGTCAACAGCAATGGCAGGAGCCTCCCAGGTTTCAATGTCGTGGTGCTGCTACAAATTCTGCCAAAGCCCAGTTTTTGGTCAGTTTTTATTCCCTCCATTACATGAGATTAATGCTTAAGTTCTGAATGAGAATTTGTGTGCTATACAAGACAGAATGGTTGTGTTTAATGCACACATGTGCTTACCAGGGAAGCAAAACCCAGGAAACCTCAAGAGGGCTGGCTAGCCAAAGCCATTTTCCCCATGTTTCTTGAAGAACTTTGCTCAAACTAAATAAAAACCCACAATAAAGTTTTACCACTTGAACTCTCAAGTCTGTGAATGTTTTACACTTCTGTGAGTTTTCAAGCAATTCAGACCAGAACCCAAGAGTGAACCATTGAGGAGAATGAGGATGGAGAAGCCTGTCTGTGGGCAGGAGAGAATGATGCCTGGAGACAG